CAATACCATCACAAGGTGGTTAACGTTCCTTTTCTCTGTATCCTCACCAACTCTGTTATTTTTTGGTCTTTTGAATAATGGGCTCCTGACTGTTGTAACATATGTTATCTCATCTGTGCGCCTCTTCAATTTTACCTCCCTCTTGTCTTCATCACATGATTCAGTAATCTGTTTTATCTCCTCTTCGCATTTTGGTTCTTTCATGACTGCTACTCTCGGCTCGGATTGTTGCGCTCGCTCTTCAGTCGTCCTTCTCTTGATTATATTATAACACATGGCTCTGACTCTCCATGTCTTTGTGTACTTTCTTTTTATTTTTTTTTCTTTTTTTTGAGACGGAGTCCTTCGCTCCTGGCTCTGTCGCCCAGGCTGGAGTGCAATGGCCGGATCTCAGCTCACTACAAGCTCCGCCTCCCGGGTTTACGCCATTCTCCTGCCTCAGCCTCCCCTTTGTCTACTTTTTAATGGGATTATTTGGGGGACTTTTTGTTGAGTTGTTTGAATTCCTTGTACATTCTGGATATTAGTACCCGACTGGATGAATAGTTTGCAAATATTTTCTCCCATTCTGCAGGCTGTTCACCCTGTTGATTATTTGTTTCACTGTGCAGAAGCTTTTTGCTTTAATTAAGTTCTGTTTGTCTATTTTTTGTTTTTGTTGTCTTTGCCTTTGAGGTCTTAGTCATCGAATTCTTTGTCTAGGTCAATGTCCACAGAAGTTTTTCCTAGGTTTTCTTCTTGTATTTTTATAGTTTCAGGTCTTACATTTAAGTCTTTGATCTATCTTGAGTTGATTTTTGTATACAGTGACAGATAGTAGTCCAGTTTTATTCTTCTGCATATAGCAATCCAACTTTCCCAGCACCACTTATTGAAAAGGGTGTCCTTTCTCGAGTGTATGTTTTTGTCAATTTTGTCAAAGATCCATTGACTGTAACTATGTGGCTTTATTTCTGGGTTCACTATTCTGTTCCATTGATCTATGTGTCTATTTTTATGCCAGTATCATGCTGTTTAGATTACTATAGCCTTGTAGCATAATTTGAAGTCAGGTAATGTGATGCCTCCAGCTTTGTTCTTTTTGCTTAAGATTGCTTCAGCTACTCAGGCTCTTTTTGGATTCCATATGAATTTTATAATTATTTTTTCTCATTCACAAGTTTGGATTTTAAGACAAACCTAACTGGGGTTACCAAGTCTTGACTCTCTGCTCTTATTCTGTAGCTATCATAAGACAAACCCTACAGGGACCCAGGAGCTGCTAGACATTGCTAATTACCTGATGGAACAGATTCAAGATGACTGCACTGGGGATGAAGATTACACCTATTTGATTCTGCGGGTAATCTCAGTCTTTTACATGACATAGATCATTTCAGAAGCGCTTTTCCTGGATACCTTTTACTTCCCTCTTCTGCACCCTGATGGGTTCTTGTTTCTTTTCTTCAATGCAGGTCATTGGAAATATGGGCCAAACCATGGAGCAGTTAACTCCAGAACTCAAGTCTTCAATCCTGAAATGTGTCCAAAGTACAAAGCCATCACTGATGATTCAGAAAGCTGCCATCCAGGCCCTGCGGAAAATGGAGCCTAAAGACGAGGTAAAGTCCACAAGAAGAGGTCTGAAAGTGAAAGTTCATTAACAAGGATTTGGAAGGTACTGGAGAAATGAGACTCTACATTTCATCTACTGACTTTATTCTGCTGTTCCTTCCCTCCCTCCCTCCCTTCCTTCCATCTTTTGAGATGGAGTCTCACTCTATTTACAAGGGTGGAGTGCAATGGCACGATCTCGGCTCACTGCAACTTCCGCTTCCTGGGTTCAAGCAATTCTCCCTGCCTCAGCCTCCTGAGTAACTGGGATTACAGGCACACGCCACCACACGCAGCTAATTTTTGTATTTTTTTAGTAGAGATGGGGCTTTGCCATGTTGACCAGGCTGGTCTTGAACTCCTG